CCTCTAAAAAATGCCAACTTTTTGTCTTCTTCTGCTCGGCCTCCAGTACCCGACACTTCTACCACTACTTCAGTGGTATCGGCCTACCTGCTACTCGAGTGTTTTTCCCCTCTGCTCTAAGTGTCGCGTCTACCACCGCTACTCGAGTGTTTTCCCCCGCTGCAACCCTCAAAGTCACGGCCACAGGTAAGTACCGGCCCTGCGGGTCACACACACACTCAACCGACAAGCACTCAGACAGGCATGCAAACCAGAAGGCACACACACACACACACAGTCTTGGAAACCACAGCAGAATGCGGGAATCACAGCAAGGCATTCATTCCAGTGGCAAATCCCAGAAATCAGCAATGTTCTCAGTCTGTGTTTTTGGCGGGTCATTACAAGTGCTTGCAACTCATAGTTTTCCATAGGGGCTCACAAAGAATGCACCCATATTCACTCAAAGTTGTGTGCTTGGACTGATTTTTGTTTTCAGGTCAAGTACATTGTCATACAATGCCCGAGGTCTGTTGTATGAAAAGCTTGGTGATGGAGATGCTGCATTGCGGGACTTCAACGAGGCAGTGCGAATGGTATTTGGCATTGAGCTACCTCAATTATTTATTTCTATTGCGTAGTTTGAATATCTGTGTGTCAGCCGGTTAATGGGGTGTGCGGGTGGGCAAGCGGGCGGTCAGGCTGTCTGGTGCCTGTCCATCTGTCTGTCCGCCTGCCAGCCTGCCCACCAGCCTAGCAGTCTTCTTGCCTGCCTGCCCATCTACCTGCCTGTCGCCCGATCGTGTAGTCAGTCTCTTCTTCTTCTTCTTCTTCTTCTTCTTCTTCTTCTTCTTCTTCTTCTTCTTCTTCTTCTTCGTCGTCGTCGTAGTCGTCGTCGTCGTTGTCGTCGTCTTCTTCTTCTTCGTCGTCTTCTTCTTCGTCGTCTTCTTCTTCGTCGTCTTCTTCTTCATCGTCTTCTTCTTCTTCGTCGTCTTCTTCGTCGTCGTCTTCTTCGTCGTCGTCTTCTTCGTCGTCGTCTTCTTC